TTTGGTACTTTCTACTAGGCACTGTTCAGCCATCTCCTCAAAAAATTTTTTGAAATGTTAAAAAATTTGGGCTGGTGAAGTGGCTCAAGCAGTAAGAGCGCTTGTCTAGCAAACACAAGACCGTGTTCAAATGCCAATCTGGAAAAAAAAAAAAGTCAAAAAATTTGTAGACTTAGTTACCTCTAAATTCTTTCCAGCCTTCTATAACTAACAAGATAAATACAAAAATATTAATTTACATATTACAGAAGTATTTAAACATTTTCCAGTTTTTCTGTTCCTGCTATTATGTGCATCATCTTCTTTTACAGAAGAATTTCAAGAATTTCGAGATGGTCCTACAGTTCATCTCGATCTGGTGGCTTACCCTTTGCACATTATCCTCTTTTTCCCATGAATTACGGGCCTGGGCTGAAAATTTTCCTTAGCTCACTGTTCTGGATTTCCAATACCAAGTAACAGCAATTAGCAAGAGGCAGAATTGGCTTGTCATCTTGCTAAGCTTCTCCGTGTATGTACTGATTTACCTTATGCTATTCTTGATGTCTCTTAATTGCTCTCTCTTTATGCTGAGTTTTCCATCTGTTCTGAATGCTGCCCTTCTGTTTGGTTATCTGTTCTTAAAGCAATTTCCCATCTAACACCTGACAGTCTGGGGTTAGGGCCAGAGACAAGAGTACATACTGGTTGTGCTAGGCCTTATGACCAGGTACCTACTGGGTCTATCCATATGGACATTTCATGGAGAAAGTGCTTCAAGTCAAAGATAAAGCACTAGATCATTTGCTTTAAATACTATGTTCTTTCAGGGCTTTCCTTAGTGAATAACAAAAACAGTGAATGAGCATTGTTTTTAGTTTTCAATTACTGAAAGATATTTATTAAGATACTCTTTGGTTAAACCTCTTCAGGCTCTATCAACAGTTATTTAACTTTTCCTTTGTTTCCCAACTTTATTGCTCTGAGCTCATCTTATTTCAAGCTCTATGTATTCCTACTAAATTATACTATTTGTAACTGCAAAAAGTCCTCTAGTCAATAACATGTAAGTGTAAGAGCATCAGGATGTAAATATATTTTTATTTCATTTAAACTTTCAAAGTGTAAAATATATAAAAGGGTGTTGTTTTTGTCTTTGGAATAATATAGCTGGTTTTTTATGTGCATGTCTGACCTCTTTGATGCATCATATGATTATAGGTAGCTGCAATTCAGTAATCTTTATTGCTTTATGGCTTTCAATTGTGTGAATGTACTACTCTTTTTAAATCTGGACTATCAATGGATATAGGAATAGTTCTGTTTTTTTTACCAGTTACAAATAATGCTGCTATGAAACTCCCCTTTATGTTTTTTGATGGACCTACATCCTCAGTTCTGTTGAGTGTTTTACCTACAAGAGAAACTGATGGGTCATGGAGCATACAGACATTAGGCTCTAGTAAATATTATAGACAGTTTAAGAAAGATTATGTTTTATATTTGCTACCTTAGTGTTATGTGTACATAATGGATATCATTACCTTGTTCTGAGGCTATTCTCTACCAGAAGACACCCTTCCATGGCATAGAAGCTTTAGTCACTATTAGGTATGAAAACAGGATATGACAATTGAGAAGGGCTCACTTGTTTTCAGCTGGAAGTATTGCAGGCACCAAATGTGAGGTGTTATTCCTGGTTTCTTAAATATGTACAGTAAGTCCCTGACACCAAGTGGTGGATAGAGAAGTGTGATGGACCTACATGACAGAAAGTCAACAGTGAGGCACCAACAGCATAGACCCTAGAAACTGTATAAAGCACACTAGCTATATACACTATAGATAGTAATACTCTTGAGTTAACAAGAGCGTTACGGGTCTTGAAGTTAGTTAAGTGTGTACAGCTGACAGCTGGTTAATGCCACCAGTGAGATATGTAAGAACAAAAGGAAGATGTGACCAGTCAAAATATAAATCAGATCCTCAGTGCCTTTGGTGACTTGGTTTCCATAGTCCTGGACACTGGAAAATGAACCCCAGATTCCTGGTGGTTAGTACACTGAAGACAAAAGACCAAGAAAGGGTTGTTCTCACACACAACATATCTGCCCCACACTTTCTCCTTTGATTTTACTGTCTCCTAAGGAATATAGCCCCAAAGACAGGGGACAATGTTTATGACAACTTTCCCAAGAGAGAAAGCCTTGCTCTTTGACTGGTAGATTCCCTCTGTCAGAATTAGTGGGCCTGGGAGTGGGAGTTCATGTTCCAGGATATAAGGTCTCAGTTGTAACTGCTCCTTTCAACTGCTCAAGATTCAGGAGCTCCAAGTGAGCAAAGTAAGATAAGCAGCATGTTTTGATAGTTTTGTTAAGCTATTTCTGCCTGGTATACTTATATTTTACATTTTCAAAATTTAAAAACCACTAATTTATTTACAATTTTAAAATAGCAAAAGGCTAAAATAATTAGGTCAGGGGAACTAATTAGGTCAAGTTGAAAGAAGGAAAAATTCATGGGCTAAGTGTAGATTTTGAAAAATGAGACTTTTGTTTGTTTTGTTTTCTTGTCATGCTGGGGATCAAACCAAGGACCTTGAACATGGTAGGCAAGCACTACCACTGAGTGACATGCCCAGCCCCAAGAAATAACACATGAAAAATGCTATGAACCCCAGCATGGATATATGTATCTTACTAATATGCCTGGAGCATTTGAACACACAAGTTCAAAAGGTGACCAACTATTTAACTCCATTGTTTCATAGCAAACTGTGGCCTTCAAAGCACTATAATTAAGAGAACAAAGCCAAAACTAAAGTACAGATCTCTTGACTTCTAATTTATAACTTATCCACTGAGACATATGCTGTTGTGGAAAACCCTTTGTGGCTTAATCCTTGCTGTTTAAATTTTAAAAAATGTTTCAGAACATTTCTTTTTACTTAGACCATAGTGAAGGTAAGAAAGAATTTCTTTGAAGGTTCAGGCTCTCACTGTGGAGTAGGGGCATTTTTTTTTTTTTTGACATTGTTAATTTTCTGTAGAATTCATGTAAAAGAGGGAATTGAGCAGAATATATATTGATTCAATAGTAGTATCTGAAATTTCAAAAAGGTTTCAAATTCCTAAAAGCATGCTTTCTTACCATTATTCCTCTAGAAATTAAACTCAGAAAAATATCAACATAACACAGCAATTTGGTTACTTCTGTATAGATACAGTTATAGAACATAAAACATGGGAAGAAAACAATATGGTTTTCAGAAGGAAGGTACTGTGGAAAGTTATAATTAGAATAAATTTTGCACATAGTAATTTTATTCAAAGATAATACTCTACAAATCTAAATCCAGCACCTTTTACAGCAGAATTTAGCTGCTGCTTTTCTCAGAGGAAATATTTGCAGGAGTGTTTCCTTAAAATTTACTAAAACTAAAGACAAATTAGATAATTTGTCATTTTCTCATCTGCAGTATGTTATTAAGTTCTCTTTAGGGCTACTTAGCTTGTAACATGCAACTAATAAAAAATTATTAGTCTGCCCAGGAATTCTGGCAGTAGGCCATATTGGAAATTTATAGGAAAATCAGAAAATTGTACTCAGTTCACAGTAAACAATTTTAGAACTGTAATTTACCCACACACAATGTTTTGGAAAAAGTAGTTTTCAGAATTCAGAGAAGACACAAATTGAGGGAAACTTGGCGATGAAGCAAGGAGCTACCACTGAATCTTCCTTATGGCATCAATTACACAGAAATGGAAAGGTTTAACTGAAAAGACAGGGATGGCATCCTAAAACAGATATTTTGTTTGTATGTCATAGGTGTTTCTTCTTACTACTTACAGTAGCTTTAAGGAAGCAAAATCCATTAGCAGATATTATAACATAATGTTATTTTATCTGATGGATTACTTATAAGCAAGGGGAAAAGCAGGACCCGGGTCAGAAAACCTCATGTTGGTTAACACTGAAGAGCTCAATTGATCACTCCAGCCGTTTGTCACTGGAGCCCAACGACCGGACTTAAGTTGTCTACACCTCTAAACTACCGGACTAGTTGTCTACACTTCTGAACTTAATTGTCTACACCTCCATACTTAGGTTCAGCTACTCCTGACACCATTCCAGTAGTGTGGAAACCAAAGCTAGCATAAGAAATCATCAAAACTGGGGCCAGGGGTAGAAAACTGATCAGAATGTCACATATATTTTCTCATAAAACTGACAATGTAGTAAGCAAACAAAAATTAATACAAAGACAAAAACAAAGTCACGATACGTTTATCGATTCTATTTATACCAAACGCCTCCTGCAAAAAAAAAAAATAAGCGAGAGAGTATATTTCAAGATTTTATCTTTATTCAGAATTTTAAAAATCCTTCGTTTTATATACTTAAGGCAGTTCTGATTTGCTAAATTGCGTATTCTCATGCTTCTAGAAAATAACAACGGTTAACTCCAAAACAGCACCACCCTCCCCTCTGCACGAGTCCGCAGGACTCTTTTGGTAGTCAAAACGCTTTGACCTAAAAACAGTAATCTTTGACCCTAACCCAAATTTTACAGCTCATTTTCTTGAACGGGCGAAGATCCGGTAGCAAATGACTCTCACGACCTTGAGTCAGACCTCGGAGGGGCGCGGGCGGGGCCGGGACCATTCACCAAGGCGGCCCGGGGCGGAGGACGCGGGGACCTGCACGCCAGGGCGCCTCGGGGGTCCACCGCCCCGCCCAGCGCCCTGCGGGGTCGGGCTCTCGCTGAGCCCCGTCAGCCGCGGTTATTTAAGCCTGCTTGGTTAACCTGGGGAACAGGGCCAGGAGCGAGCCCCAACATCCCCTTCCGAAGGCGACTCCCCGGGTACCCAAAGCTCGGGTCGCAGGGTACTAGCTCTTCAACAGCGACGATGCTCGCCAACCGCGCCGCGCGGACTTCTCGCGAGGTTTCGCACCCCCCACCCCGAGTCCCCCCGCCCCCCTTCCCCTCTCAGTCTGTAGTGCCGGCGGCTCCCGCTATGGCTGCACTGCGGAGGCTTCTGTGGCCGCCGCCTCGGCTGCCGCCGACGCTGTCTCTTCACCACCCCTTCCTCGGGCCGTGGGGGCGGCCTGCGGGGACGGCCCCGGGCCTTCCTGGCCGGCCCTTCTCCTCCTGCGAGGATGAGGAGGGGTCCGTGGCTGCGGCGGCGTGGAGGCGGCGGCGGCGCTGGGGGGAGTTGAGCATCGCGGCGGCGGCGGGCGGCGGTCTTGTCGGCCTGCTGTGCTACCAGCTGTACGGCGACCCCAGGGCCGCCTCGGCGCGGGCGCCCCCCGAGAGCGCGGCCGCGGAGCCCCAGGACCCGCCCCGAGGCCGGGGGCTGCTTCCCATCCCGGTGGCGGCTGCCAAGGAAACGGTATGTGCGCCAGCGGGTGCGCCAGCGGGCGACGGCCAGGTGTCCCCACCTGCGCGCGGTGGGGGGGCCGAGTCGATAAGGTCACCGTGACACCTGACCTTGGAGGTGGTGGAGGCTTGGGCAGCTCCGTGGCTGCAGGTGGGGGAGCCTCCCGTGAACCAGACAAGACCTTCAGTGCCAGGCAGCCCAAGGTCCTTTGCCATGATGCTGTCATTGATGCATTGGGACCTTAAGTGTTGCTACAGCTACCGCCTAGCAACCAAAATCCTACCTCCCCCCCACCCCACCCCCCAAAAAAAAGTCGAAATGAAAGCCATGGCAGGCTAAAAGTGGAGGGTTGCATGTGTGGGAGAAAGGAACTCTCGGACTGGCATGGCAAGAGCAAATGATCCAGGAAATCAAGTGCAGGAGGAGTTTTGCAGCAGTGGTCTGGGGTCTCAAAAGCCACTAATTAGTTAATGGAAGTCCCAAGAGAAGCAATTATAAACCTGTGCAGCCTCCTTATTAGAAGAGAAGACATTCCCAGACTCAACTGTATTTTTAAAGTTGAGAGTCAGTGGTCTTGGCAAGCTGGGGCTCTGGCTCCACAACTTACTAGTTGTGTCACTTTGGGCAAATTAACTTAACTTCCCAGTGCCTTTTTCCTCATCTGTAAAAGAGGCCAGTAGTCTCATAGGGTGTTATGAGAGCTAAAAGAGTAATATATTTGAAACAGAATGGAACACCTGGTGTATAGTAGGCATTCAATTTATTTTATTTGTGTTTTATTCATTATCTTTTTTTTCTCTTCAGTGCTGGGGATCAAACCCAGGGCTTTAATGCATGCTAGGCAAGCACTCTACCACTTGGCTACATCCCCAGTAATATTTTTATTTACCTATATTATTATCACTTAGTGTGTCTGAAATTTTCTGTACTTTTAAAAATCAAACAATACTAAAGTCCTGTGTCTTACCCTTCACAAGTCTTTCATCCTACATTTTGTAATGCCTTCTGTAGGTGACCTTCCCCCCCAAAAAAACAATTTTATAAACTTTTTATCTCGGATTGTAATTTTTACAGTAATGAGCTTTGATGGGGACATTTTTTCATTAATTGTTCTAGGTAAGTAAGGCCCCTTTCAATATGGAAATTTCATGTCTAAAAGTTTTGTGTAAAGTTTTCTTGTATTTTTTTCCTTCTTTTTTTGGGGGGGCAGTGTTGGGTTTGAACTCAGGCTTAACATACTTCCTAGGCAGATACTCTACACCCTCAGCCCTTTTTGCTTTGGTTATTTTGGAGATGGTGTCTTAACACCAACCATCCTCCTATTTTGTGTTTCCTTCCATTGCTGGAATGACAGGCGTGCCACCACAACCAGCCCTTTCCTGCTGAGATGGGGTCTTGCAAACTATCCCCACCAGCTGCCCTTTTGCTTGAAACCTCAATTATCCTGATCTCAGCCTTCCACATAGCTTGGGATGACAAGCCCAACTATTGGTTGAGGTGGTTTCACCAACTCTCCAACTAAGATACTCTCAGTCTCAATCTCCCAAGTATTTAGGATTTACAGGTGTGAACCACTGGTGTCTGGTGTAATATTTCTTTAACATTTTTCCATTCTCCATTGTTTCTATTCTCTTTTTCTGAAACTGCTATCAGTCTGAATTTAACCCTCCTGACAGATCCTAATTTAATTCTAATGCTAACTTTTTTTTTAAACCAATGTGCTGCTTCTTTTGTGTATTTGATTACCCTGAGGTGGCACAAATGATTCCTTTTGATTTTTATAACTATACCTAAGGGTCTTTGATTTATGAAGCCTCTTTTAAAAGAAGCATATTATGTGAGCATAAGCCTGGCATATGAATGAATCTGTATATGTTATGAGAATAATTTAACTGATGGTAATGAACAGCCATAACCTATTGAAATCTACCAGAAGGCATTTCCTGACTCAGAGATAAAATACCTCTGGGTATCATACTCTTTGATAATGACTTTTTTGGTAATTATCTCTTAAGTCTTTGTCTTTCCTACTTACATCCTTTAATGAGAAGCATTGTGTTGATCTTGGTCACCTTTACATACTCACTGCATGGGACTGGGGCTTAGCTCTGGCAGATGCAATAGTTTTTGAATTAAATAAATCCATACTAAACATTTGTATAGAACAATTCTGTAATTTTTTGTTTAGTCAAAGTATTTATAACATTAGAATTGGAAAGAGTTAAGGTCAAAATTTCATTCTTTGGGAGACCTAGTCATGTGACACTATTTTAATTGTGCAATTAGGCTTGTGAAAGTTTTCTATAACTATGGTCTTGAACTATATTAATATTATAAAGAGATGATGACAACCTTTTCTTAGAATCTTAAAGTTTTAGCCTTAAAGTGCGATATAAAATATAAAATAGGACAATACTAATAAAATAGTGGAAAAATTTTTGTTTCAGAACCGCGTTTTTGTTTCAGGCTCAGAAAAAAGTAACCTATTGGACTGCTTAACACACTTTAATATTTTTACTTTTTATATATAACACATAACCTATTTTATGATTTATTCATTTAAAAAAACTTTAAGCAACTTGATTTAGTTTTACTCTGTCATGGAAATCAAGTTAGATCAATTTTGTATGTTTTTGTATATTCTTATAATAATTGTCGATAAGCATGGATTTTAAAGTTTCTTTCACTGTATATCTTTTCCAACCTATTTTCAAGGCAGCACTTAATCTTTTCTTTTTTTTTTTTTTGGTGGTATTAGGGTTTGAACTCAGGGCCTTGTGCTTGCTAGGTAGGCACTGTACCACATAAGCCATACCTCCAAGGCAACAATTCCTGAGATGTGAAGTTATGCTTATTTTTTCTCTGAATATTGCAGTTTGCCAGATACATAAGTGCAGAAAAATCTTACTATTTTTTTAGAGTGAGGGATGTCAGACAGATATGAAATTGAAGATGAATTAATTGTGTGTAGAATTACATTGTTGTATAAGAAGCTAAAGCAGGTGTTTTCCTCATTTGGTTTCCTAAATCACCTTGTAATAAATATGTGCACCACATTCTACCTGCATGCCTTATGGCCTGTAACACTTTGAGGGTAGATGTTTTTCTGTAACTATATCACAAAGTAAAATTTGGAAAAAATTTTCTTATTTCTGTTTATGCCAAACCTAGAGTGTTAGAAACAAATGCACCTTTATTCTTGGTTTAATAAAAGCTAGTTATAACAGTTTGTGAATGTCCATTTTTTTTAGGTTCACAATGGAAATCAGGAAATGAAACTATCATCACCTTGGATTTAAGTTTAAAAAATAAAAAAAAATCATCTGTATTTCTCTTCCAAGACTTAGACTTTACTTATTTTCAGATAATGTACAGAAATCAATTTGAATGAAGGTGTATAAGTTTTTCTTCTTAACCTATGTAATTTTCACCTTTAAAAACCATATAAACATTGACTTGTATTATGAACTGAAATTCATCTGTATTTGGGGTTAATATGACTTTCTAATTGATTCTCACATGTAATCGCTTATTTATTTTGGCCTGGACAGTTTGTGACTTCTAAATAAAATAAAGCTGCCCTGTTAGAGATTGAATATACAGTTTTCCACTAATTTTTGAGAAATGAATGCCATTTTCTACCTAAGGATTAAAGAGGACATTTGGGATCATTAAAACAATTATTTTAACCCTAAATTTTAGTTTATTTATAGGACATGGTATGATATTTTGATATATGTATACCGTTGTGTACAATGATTAAATCAAGCTAATTTATCATATGTATCATCTTACATACCATTTTGAAGCTTCTTTAAGGGAGATTTCATTCATCACCTACATTTAACACATAAGCCTTATATCTTATAAAATTGTAATGATTTCATGTTTAATGAGTGAGTGAATAAAAAATACACAAAGAAGTTATAATTTTTCCAATTAAAGTTCTATACAGATACTGCTTTTACAAAATCATTTCATCCTTGCAAATTTGAATGTGATTTTATAGAGATCAGGAGATCATCTCAACAACTTAAAGGAAGGCAGAATAATGGATATCTGTAACCTCATTATGTTATCTGTGAGGACTAATGACTAGAAACTTAGTCATGTAGCGTTAGCAGATGTAAATTGAGTACCTAATTACAATTTCATGAAAGAGCAGGTGCAAAGTGCCTGCATTTGTTTCTTCTGTCACTATAAGCATATAATACGACAAAAGATTTACTTTCTTTGGAGACATCCTTAGTCTTTCAGCATTAGTGGCCAAATACTTAAATGTTTTTCTTATTTTGGGATGGTTGTACATGTAAGATTATATATCTAAATTGTTGACCTCCTGTTTCCCATACTGGTTTTACCTAGTTGCTCTGTAGCTATCAGTTTACCAATTTAGCGGTTCTGTTAGCAAACGGCCCCTTTAATTCCCTCACTCTTCATCTTTTCCCTTGTAAATAATACACAGTATTGCCTTTGATATACTGAAAGTATTGTACATGCTGGACTTAAAAAAGTATTATGGTATATCATTTATGTTAGAGGGCCTAATTCTATGTAAATGATTAAATTTTTTGGTCATTCTGGAGAGTGAATGCAGGGTCTTATGCATGCTAAGCACATGTTCTACCATTGAGTTGCATCCCTAGCCCTAAATAATTAATATTTTTAAAGAATTGTCAAGCAGTTTCTTTTAATTTCATGGGCGTAGTATGAAGCTTTCTGTTTTATGTCTCATTCAGAAACACAATGGTTGTATCCATGTATTTATCCATCCAGGCATTTGTTCATTCAAATACTTCATTCAAAGAATATTGACATGTACTTAGTACATGTAGGTACTAGAGATTTAGTAGTAAGTGAAGCTAAAATTCATATACTTTTCAGTTCATAATCTAGTAAGGATACTGAATAACTAATAATGCAGTGTAGTAAAATGATATGATGGGAATAACAAAATATACCATGGGACATATAACCTGCTAGGAAATGTGACTTCCTGGAGAAAGTAACAT